AGATTTTATTAAAAAGTGGATAATTTCGGTTATGATAAATTGTTCATCAGCAATACACGAAGCCAACGTGTCGCAATCGGATTTTGCGTTCGGATGTTAATCGAAAGGTTGGTGGTTCGAGCCCACCCGGTTGCGGCATTCTGTATTTGTTTTTCCTTCAAATGAAATAGAATTTATTAAAAAGTGTATATTTTTTCTGTTCTTCAGAAACGCACGAAGCCTCCGTGGCGTAATCGGCTAGCGCGTTCGGCTGTAAACTTAATGGTTTGTTATTCGAGCACACCGGGGGCAACGAACTATATTTGTTTTCCTTAAAGTGAAGTAGAATTTATTAAAAAGTGGTTGTTTTCTGTTAAGATTAGTTGTCCTTCAAAAACACGCGAAGCCTTCGTGGCGCAATCGTCTTTCGAATTCGGCTGTTAACCGAAAGGTTGGTGGTTCGAACAGTCCCGGGGGTGGTATTCTATATTTATTTTTCCTTCAAGTGAAATAGAATTTATTAAAAAGTGGATCTTTTGTGTTCAGATTAATTATTCTTCAAAAACACACGAAGCCTCCGTGGCGCAATCGGCTATCGCGTTCGGCTCTCAACTGAATGGTTGATGGTTCGAGCCCGCTGTGGGCAGAATTCTATATTTGTTTTACCTTAAAGTGAAATACAATTTATTAAAAAGTGGATCTTTTCTGTTCAGATTAATTGTTCTTTAGAAACACCTGAAACCTCCGTGCCGCAATCGGTTGTTAACCGAATTGCTTCTGTTTCGAGCCTGCCCGGGGGGCGGCATTCTATATTTGTTTTTCCCTCAAGTGAAATAAAATTTATTCAAAAGTTGATCTTTTCTATTCAGGTTAATTATTCTTCAGAAACACACGAAGCTTCCGAGGTGCCATCGGCTAAAGCTTTTGGCTGTTAACCGAAGGGCTGGTGGTTCCAGCCCGCCCGGGGGGGGCGGCATTCTATATATGTTTTCCTTAAAGTGAAGTACAATTTATTAGAAAGTTGATGTTTTCTGTTAAGATTAATTGTATATCCGCGACAACCGCAGAATCCGTGTCGCAATCGGATAGCGCGTTCGGCTGTTCTCCGAAAGGTTGGTGTTTCGAGGCCACCCGGGGGCGGCGTTCTATATTTGTTTTCACTTCAAGTGAAATAGAATTTATTAAAAAGTGGATCATTTCTGTTCCGATTAATTGTTTTTCAAAAACACACGAAGCCTCCGTGGTGCAATCGGCTAGCGCGTTCGGCTGTAACCTGAATGGTTGTTGGTTCGAGCCCACTGTGGACAGCATTCTATATTTGTTTTCCTTCAAGTGAAATAGATTTTATTAAAAAGTGGATCCTTTCTGTTATGCTTAATTGATCTTCATAAACACAGAAACCTCCGTGTCGCAATCAGCTAGCGCCTTCGGCTGTTATCCGAAAGGTTGGTGGTTCGAGAACACCAGCCCAAACGGGGGCGGCATTCTGTATTTGCTTTTCCTCCAAGTGAAACAGATTTTATTAAAAAGTGGATCTTTTTTCTTTTATGATAAATTGTTCATCCGCGATGCACGAAGCTTCCGCGTCGCAATCGGCTAGCGCGTTGGGCTGTTAACCGAAAGGTTGGTGGTTCGAGGCCACCAGGGGGCGGCATTCTATATCTGTTTTTCCTTCAAGAGGATTAAAATTTATTAAAAAGTGAATCTTTTCTGTTGATATTAATTGTTCTTCAGAAACACACGAAGCCTCCGTGGCGCGTTCGGCTGTTAACCGAAAGGTTGGTGGTTCGAGCCCATCCGGGGGCGGCGTTCTATATTTGTTTTTCCTTCAAGTGAAATAGAATTTATTAAAAAGTGGATCTTTTTTCTGTTAAGATTAATTGTTCTTCATCAATACACGATGCCGCCGTTGAACAATCGGTTGTTAACCGAAAGGTTAGTGGTTCTTGCCCACTGTGGGCAGCATTCTATATTTCTTTTCCTTCAAGTGAAATAGATTTTATTAAAAAGTGGATCTTTTCGGTTATGATAAATTGTTCATCAGCAATACACGAAGCCAACGTGTCGCAATCGGATATCGCGTTCGGCTTTTAACCGAAAGTTAGGTGGTTGGAGCCCTCCCGGGTTCGGCATTCTATATTTGTTTTTCCTTCCAGTGAAATAGAATTTATTTAAAAGTGGATCTCTTTTCTGTGTAGATTAATTGTTGTTTAGAAACACCTGAAACCTCCGTGCCGCAATCGGTTGTTAACTGAATTGCTTCTGTTTCGAGCCTGCCCGGGGGGGGGGCGGCATTCTATATTTGTTTTTCCCTCAAGTGAAATAAAATTTATTCAAAAGTTGATCTTTTCTATTCAGGTTGGCATTTTGACCACCCATGGTTGTTTCCCACAACACCAGCATAGACTATTTGGTAAATCTCCGGATTGTTTTTGTGGCAGAGATTTCGGGACAATAACACATTACGTTTACGGTTGTTCAAAATACAATAATATTCGTGAAAAATTTTTTCCGAGGAATTTTCCTTCTCTTGGTATTCTTGAATTGGTCACCCATTTTTCAGCAAAGAAAGGGCTTCGAATTATTGTTCAAGACCTTTTCGAACTGTCTGTTTCTACTCTCTAAATTCTTTGTTTATTTGCTTGTATTGTTTTTAATTTGGACTTAACTTTTCTTAGGTCCTTTTTTATATTTCTAGATGTGTCCTTGTGAAACGATTAGACTTAATTCTTTGATAGGATTGCATTATGCAATCTGTATCCATTATATTGATATCTTTGATTCCTTTTTGATTGATGTTTATGATTTGTTGCTGGGAAGAGTTCCAACCTTTGGATTTTTCTCATTTAAAATTTGTGGTTTAGTTAAATATTAAAAATTTTCTAATATTCTTTTATTGAGATTGTGTTGTATAATTATATATTTAAAACGACTAATTGCATTGATAATTTATTAAAAAATGGAAATAGGAGTTAGTTCTGTACATATTAAGAACATCGGTGATCCTTTTCCTTTGTTAAATGAGTTGTATTTGCTTTATGAGTGTCATATTCAGGGTGTCTTTTGTTTATGTTGTATTATTTTAATATGTACCAGTATCACTGATGTTATTGTATTGTATTTGGAGAATCTTATGATTGTTTTCGATTGATCTCAAAATTAGTTGCTCGGTAGAATTCCAACTTCTTGGATCATGACCAATTAAATTAGGTGAATTAAATAACTGTTAAAAATCTTTAAATTCTTAATTTATTGATACTGTGTCTTAGAATTGTATTTTGAATAACAACTAATTGAATTAACTTTTTCTATGAAGAAAAGGAGTTGGCTTTAACTATGCCATGAACTTCGGAGGAAATATCGGCGTTCACTTTTTTCTGTCAACTGCTCTGTATTTGACGCATGAGTGTTTTATTTGAGAGATGTTTCTTTTTTGATTACGTTATATTATTATAATACGAGTTATATGAGTGATAAGTCTTCATATTTTGTATAAATAATCGGAAAATTGGCCGGAAAAATGGATGCGTTTATAAAATTCAGGTTAATTGTTCATCAGCGATACACGAAGCCTCCGTTTCGCAATCGGATAGTGCGTTCGTCTATTAACCGGAAGATTGGTGGTTCCAGCCCACCAGGGGGCTGCATTTTATATTTGCTTTTCCTTCAAGTGAAATAGAATTTATTACAAAGTTTATTTTTCTGTTCAGATTAACTGTTCTTCAGAAACACACGAAGCTTCCGAGGTGCCATCGGCTAGCCCTTTCGGGCTAGAAAGGTTGGTGGTTCGAGCCCACCAGGGGGCGGCATTCTATATTTGTTTTTCCCTCAAGTGAAATAAAATTT